ATTTATTCTGAGCACTTTAAGAGGGAGGACTTGTGGGCAAGTTGAGATATTTGGTTTAGGATTTGTGTGAGTGATTTTGTGAGATTGTAACCCTCTGTACTCTCCTTGATTTAGTGGAATCTCTCCATCCTCTCTCCGTGGACGTAGGCAAATTGCCCAACCACATATATCTCTGTGTTTGGTTTGATCTGTCGTATTTGGATTGAATTGTGCTAGTGTGTGGTTTTGTTCTTTTCTCCCGTGATCACAGATTCGTTCGGTGTGCGAGCACGCTTCCGCATAGGCGCGCAGCAATTGGTATCAGAGTTCAGATTTGAGATCTAGGGTTTTGGTATTAGGTGGAGGGATATTCGTCGTGGAAGCTTGGTTCTTGGAGTTCTAGGCTTCGGTGGAGATAGTGTTTGGGGTTGCCATTGAAGATTTTGCTTTCCTCGTATGGTTAGGAGATCTATTTTGGAATTCATTCTAGGTTCAGTTGGGTAACTTCTAAATTCTTTTAAGTTTGAATCTTTCTTTGCAATTTGGAGTTTGTGATTATGGATAAAGAAGTTGGTGAAAGCAGCAAGTTGGCGGGTACAGTTTAAGTTGGTTTTCAGAATACTAAAATTAGTGTGGTGAAGTATGACGGCAAGATCAATTTTGATTTGTGGATGAGCGATGTTCATAATGCGCTCAATGCTCAGAATTTGGAGACCATCATGGTCCATGAGAGGTCACCAAAATATAAAGAGGCGATATGAGAAAAGATGAATAGGAATGCTTGTGGGGTGATCAGGTCTTGTTTGGAACATGAGCTGAAATATGATGTGATTAGGGTGACGTCTGCAATGACGATGTGAGAAATTCTCAACAATAAGTATCTTACGAAGAGTGTTGAGAACAAATTACACTTGTTGTGCAGGTTATTCAGATTTCAGATATCCGGGCACCTCACTAGCAGTTCATGTGAAACAACTATACTAAGTTGTTGTTGGACTTGACCAATGTTGATGAGAGATATCGGATGAGTACAATGCTATTATTCATTTAGGCTCCTTATCGGATGAGGAGTATAATACCTTTGTGCTTACTTTGTTGAACGGGAGATCTTCTATCACTTATAGTGAAGTAACTAACGCTTTGACGAATTATGATTTGAGGAGGAAAGACAAGAAGACTTACCGCGCTAGTATTTCAGGAGATATCTTATCGACGAGAGATAGAAGTCTATATCCGAGAGGTGGCAATAGAGGCATAACTCTCATATTAATTGTCCACTAATATTAACTTCTATTTTTTGTAACCCCTCCACTAATCCAATATTAATATTATCATAAAAAATTTACATACATATAAACACATACATATACATGCATACATTCTTAATAATGACATAACTCTCCTATTAATTGTCCACTAATATTAACTTTTATTTTTTGTAATCCCTCCACTAATCCAATATTAATGTTATCATAAATTTTTTTAAGATTGTAAGTTGTATTTGACATAATAGCTGAGAATTGAATGCGCACACATATGACAAACTAATAATATACGTTTCAATTTGCAAACAAAGTGTCAACTTAAAATGCTTACATGCATACCTTCTTAATAATGACATAACTCTCCTATTAATTATCCAATAATATTAACTTTTATTTTTTGTAACCCCTCCACTAATCCAATATTAACGTTATCATAAATTTTTTAAGATTGTAAGTTGTACTTGACATAATAGCTGAGAATTGAATGCACACGCATATGACAAACTAATAATATATGTTTCAATTTGCAAACAAAGTGTCAACTTAAAATGCTTATATGCATACATTATTAATAATGACATAACTCTCTTATTAATTGTCCACTAATATTAACTTCTATTTTTTATAACCCCTCCACTTAAAACGCACATATGACAAACTAATAATATACGTTTTAATTTGCAAGCAAAGTGTCAACTTAAAATGCCATTAGTGCATGAATTCATGCATACTTAAAATGAGAGTTACATTTTCAATTATAGTTTTTATTTAAGTGACAATTACATTTGACAGTTACAAAATTCAAAGAGCCTGCTTTTTTATTTATCATAATAGCCCTTACTTGCAACCTATATAAATTTACTCATTTGATGATTTAGATTTACACTCACCTCTTACAACCCTAACAACATCCTATACTCACCCCATGACTTTACTATGATATTATTTGGATGATACAAGCTCGCCAGTGAAAAAATTATCCCTTCAGAAGAGATAACGACAAAGGGGGGTGAAGACGATTGAAGTTGTGCTGAGGAAGTAGTAAATTTTACTCAGATTATACTTTATACTGATGTGATTGTTAGATTGATGACTATATACGGATTGAGGATACGATTGATACAATGAAATGTGAAGAATTCGGATTGAGGTTAAAGTTTAAGGTCTAATTGCGGGGTGCGGGGGGAGGGGGGGTGTTAATGAACTTTTTTTTCTATTTCTATAATCATTACTATGTACTTAATTGTGATTTGAGAGAATATTGTATTATCCATGAAATTAGTAGATATATTTTTTGTAGCATGTTACTAATTATAAAATAATAGAAGAGAGAGATGTGAAAGTGAGAATTTTATTTTGTTATAATGGATTAGCAAAAATAAAGATAATTAATATAAACTGGAATAGCATGACACACTTAACATAAAAGTAAAGAACAAACTTAGAATTTTTAAACTGGAATAGCATGACACACTTAACATAAAAGTAAAGAACAAACTTAGAATTTTTGTCTTTTGGGTAATTTTTTTATATAATAAGTATATTATAACCTCCCTAATGTTAAAACTATATTCTAATTTGTACATAAAACTAACATTAGCTATTAAATACATTCATTATCTTAAATTATAAAGTAAATAGAACTATGTCTTTTAAGATAAAAAAAATTATATCTTTTGGGTATTCCATGATTTGCCAATGTTCATAAAATAACCCTAAATTTTTTCACAAACAACCATGGATCTTCATAATTTTCACAAAGACCATTGAAATTTCATATATTTATAGAAAAATACTGAACCTTCATAATTTTTTACAAATAAACCCATATATAGTTCAAAACTTAAATCTTAAGAAGATTGAAAGAAGTATATGATCGAAATTATAAGAAAATTACAAATAAGTCCTCAAATGTTGTTATAATTACATTCAAAATAAAACTCTTCCATTAATTAAATAATGAATTGTGTAAAGTATTAGAACATAAAACAAATATGTCCACATGTAACGCACGTGCACTATACTAGTGAAACCAAAAGAAGGAAGTCTATTTAGGAGCTTTTAATCTTTTATATCATCATTGGTATTGTATGTGTTTTAATAATTTTTCTACCTAAAACGTATTTATGTTTTAATAAAATTTCTTGTTTATATATAGTCAATGGAACTTTTCTTTATTTACATATAAATAGCAATCATATTATTATATATCAGTATGATAAAATGAACTTTTATTAATCACTTTTCAAGTTGCATTTATGCAATCTATACATTGTATTATAATTATTTTAGCATTCATAAGGAATCCAAACTAAATAATGTAAGATATGAAATGGAACAAAGCCATCCAAGCAACTCTAGCTCTAGGGTTGTTCAAACGGGCATGCCCGGCCTAGCACGGTCCTGATTTCCGGGTTCGTGCCGGGCAAAATGCTTAGCCCAAACCTAGACCCTAGGTGCTCGGGCCTGGGCACCTCGAGTTCAAGTCAAACTGGGTCGGCCCGGATTTTTTTTGTATTTTTTTAATTTTTTGGCTAAAAATTAGTTAAAAAATTAGATTAATCTTATTATATTTATATAAGTATGTAGTAGCATGTACTTACATATTAGACGTATTAGTATATAGCTATATATTATATATAAGCATATATAATTATATATTAATGATCATATCATACTATAATTATATAGTATACATTAAAAATATATATGTAAGTATACATTAATGGCTATATCATACTATAATTATATATAAACTATATTTATAATATATATAAAAGTAAAAATAAGATCGGGCCCGACCCGAATCGGGCTTCACTGACTCGACCCGGACCCAGGCTCCAAGCTAGGCCGGCACGGATTTTCCAGACCTTACCAGGCCCAAGCCGGGCCCTACCTACCTCCAAGAAAAACCCACGTGACGTGACGCATTGACTAGCGACAGGTCAGCAAAAAGACTTCACCTCTTCACTTATATCTTTACGCGATCCTCGAACTCATTCAGTCTTCTTGCTCTTCCCAACATCTCCTCAATGGGCGGCGGCGGCGAACATCTCCGCCCATCTCCAAACTCTCCGTCATCCTTCCCAAAACCGTTACTCCCGAACTGCCCAACCCTCTGCATTCCGCCAAAAAAACCCTACTTCCTCCCCATCTTCCTCTTCCTCCTTCCCTCACCTCTACCTATCATCACCACTTCAGATACTCCGCGCTTCAGGCCCCCCGGTTTTCGGTCCCTCGCAGCCCGCAAGGGCGGCCGAACATCCTCGTCGAGGCCTCGGAGCTCGCTCGGTTCACGACGTCTCGCCTTACCCAGCGCGTGTTCAATGGAGATTCCACCAAGCCCTAACCCGATCAATGTCCAATCACAACCACCTTCCTCCGCACGGCAAGGCGCAGGCTTCGCCGCGAGGGTACGCCTCGTCACCGGCAGGCCGGGCGTCATGCATCGCACCTCCGGCCCCGGCCGCCACCAACCTCGTTCTCCGCGCCTCGCCGACGCTCTTCTTGATTCTGTCCCCCTCGTCGCCAATTCACGGCCAAGTCTCTGTCGGCTGATCGGACCGACGCTTTTCAAGAAACCCTTATCGTTGAGGTAACCAGGATCTATTACCAAGCCACACATTATTGGTCTTGATGTGAGGACATCCCTAGGGGGTGTTGTAAAGAAGCCTTCTTATTTGGCTTACCCGGCCGCCTTGGCCCGGGTCGTCGATATACCGAAGGACATTCAGCAGCAGCGGAGTGGTGGCCGCTGTGGACCGCCGCATGAGGCTTTCCGGGTACTTGTCCCGCTTGCCGAAGCCTCCGGCGAGGAATCTGATCGAGCAGATTGTGAGGTTGATTTCGGAGTCGAAGAGGCCGGTTCTTTATGTGGGAGGAGGTTGTTCGGCTTCTGGTGATGAACTGAAGAAGTTTGTGGAGCTCACTGGGATTCCTGTGGCTAGTACTTTGATGGGTCTTGGTTGTTACCCTACTGATGATGAGCTTTCATTGAAAATGTTGGGAATGCATGGGACTGTTTATGCAAATTATGCAGTGGATAAGTCTGACTTGTTGCTGGCTTTCGGGGTTAGATTTGATGATAGAGTGACTGGAAAACTGGAAGCTTTTGCAAGCAGGGCAAAGATCGTGCACATTGATATTGACCCGGCTGAGATTGGGAAGAATAAGCAGCCCCATGTTTCAATTTGTGCTGATATAAAGCCATCATTGCAGGAATTGAATAAGATTTTGGATGCGGATGGACTTGCGTTAGATTTTAAGGAATGGAGAAATGAGCTTGATCAGCAAAAGGTACATTTTCCCCTGAGTTACAAGTCATTTGGGGATGCAATCCCTCCTCAATATGCGATTCAAGTGCTGGATGAGCTTACGGATGGTGAGGCAATTATAAGCACGGGAGTTGGGCAACACCAAATGTGGGCTGCCCAATATTATAGTTATAAGAAGCCAAGACGATGGCTTTCATCGGCTGGATTGGGGGCTATGGGCTTTGGATTACCAGCTGCAGCTGGAGCAGCAGTAGGAAACCCGGGGCTTACTGTGGTTGACATTGATGGTGATGGTAGCTTTCTCATGAATATTCAAGAATTGGCAATGATACGGATCGAGAACCTTCCTGTTAAGATCATGGTCTTGAATAACCAACATTTGGGTATGGTAGTTCAATGGGAAGATAGATTCTACAAGGCAAACCGGGCACATACATACTTAGGAAACCCGGATTATGAGGATGAGATTTACCCGGATTATGTGACTATTTCCAAGGGCTTCAATATACCTGCAGCTAGAGTGACAAAAAAGGCTGAGGTCAAGGAGGCGATACAAAGGATGTTGAATACACCAGGACCCTACTTGTTGGATGTAATTGTGCCACATCAGGAGCATGTGTTACCTATGATACCAAGCGGTGGTGCATTCAAAGATGTGATCACTGATGGAGATGGAAGAGTATCTTATTAGGTCAATTTATAACAGGTAATGGATTTTGTTTTGCTTAGATCCCCAAACTGAATGCAGGATTAGAGGATGAGCTAGTTCTTTTGTTTTGTTACTAGCGTTTTGTAACTTTGTTGTTAATCTATGTTGTGTATCTTAGTTTGGTTAAAAACCTATATCTTTTTTATTGCAGTACTATATATTTAATGCTTTATTGTACACCGCTTATTTACATTGCCTCTTTCTTTCCCAAGTCTTTTGCTTTGGCAAGTCATAAACTAATTTGCAAATTGCTATATTACACATTGTTGTACATGACTTCATGTCGTAGTCTGTAGTGAAGAGAGAGGTAAAGAGAGGGGGTTATAAGGTTAGTTTCCGGGGCATGATATTTTACTGGCTATCTATGGATGGGAGAACATGGAAATTGAGTTTGAACTTTGAGGGGGGCTAATCTCATAGGTTGAAGCAAGAAGGCTGATAGCAGAGAGAGCAGAGTCTGAAGAAGGAGATGAATCACTAGGGAGAGAGGCGGAGTGCAAGTAAGTTCATGCTACTTGACAGATAAGACAATAAGTTTACTCCACGATCACCCGATTAAGCAATTAGCTACATTGTTAACCCACAGCTAAAATTTGAGAAAGTGTCTTGTTCTATGGCTGTAGTGTTTGGCTCTGTGGTATAATGATCCAATTTTGCAGTCCAATGCCACATGATCCTCGGGAAGCGGTTTAAAAAACTGAACCACCCATATGTACATCCTTCACAATGTCCCCTTGCAATTTACAAAGCGGCTATGTCAAGTATTAGGTTCTTCTCATCTTGTAGTATTTGAGTTCTAATAGCTGCTCTAGCCAATTCTGGTTAAAGGAAAAGGTACTGGTACTGAGCTACACGTCCTCAGGGATGTTACTTCTAGACAAAGGTAGGCAGAGGCAGTATAGGGTTTTTGTCATAATTTACGGGCTGGGACTTCTAATATTTTGGTAAACATCTTATATCTGTCTTTGGTGGTGTTGCTTGCAGCGTGTATGCTTTACTTTTGCCACTTATTCACATCATTTAAGCATTCTTGTGCAAGGGAAATACCCTTCCCCTATGAGCTGGATAAGTTATTAGAGGATGTTTAATCTTTTAATCTTCCTTAGTTTCTTCTAAACAAAATGCTGAATCCCTTAATGAGAACTTTCTTCCCTTTTCAATCACCCCTTCCCATCTCTTTCAAAACACCACCTTCTCATTTCCTTAACAGTATAGTGTCTACACTGTCTAGTCGAGCAGAAAATTTCTATGATTATATCATATTCGTGCGTTAATTGCAAACAGATCCCTTGTTGTATTGCTGTCTTGAACTTACTAAACCTCTATTTTTATTTTTGCAGATAAACCCGTTTGAGTGAATTTTTTGATTCTTTTACCCTCGGTGAAGGAGATTGTTTTCTTATGATACCCCCACCCCCACCCCCCCACCCCAAAAAAAAACCACGGTAAAAGAGTCAAAAAAATTACTCATGGCTCTATCTGTTTGGGGGTGGGGGTGGGGGGGGGGACGAGAAGGGTAGTATGTAAGCAGCATTAGTGCATTTCTACTAGGGATCTACCCGCAATTAACCATATGCTCATAAGCCAAAGCTGCTGAAAAGCAGCATCCCAGATTTTTGCCACACATTTCAGCACACAAGTACTCTAACCACAAGAGAAACATCAATTCGGATGAAGTACCCATACAAATGGTAGACTGAGGTTTCACCAGAGAGTGGGAGAGCGGTAACAGGAGAAGCGGAGAGCGAGCCCTCAGTGGATCAATATTGGTACGCGAGCGCAGACATTGCAGTGGAAACGGCAGGGACTTTGGTGTCATATCCAGATAACGGTGTCAACATTGCTGTTGGTCACCCTATTCCTGAGAGTTTTGAAGAGCAAATGAAGCTGGCTACGGCTGCGGCTAAAGCGAAAGAGCAAGCCAACAGGGTGGATGTGATAAACTTGTACATCTCCCACCTAATAATGTATGTTAGCCAACTAGTCTGATAAGGAAGAGAGTATCGTCTTCAAAACTAGTTACCCCGAACATCGTGAACATTAGTTCCAATATGTTCTTTAGCCTATACATAGAGGGGTGCACAGATCGTGACTGATTTAGCGTGGTTTTAGCTTGTTTAGCACATGAAATCGATGATTGTGACCTCATGATATAATCATTTGCTCAACATAATCTCATAATGTTATTTGTCGAGCTCTGGACTGACGCGTGTAGATCCGCAGAGACTTCGTCGTTATAATTTATGAAAACTATTGTTAATGAGGTGTTCATAATTATTATTGGTAATGGAAACTCTGCAAGGCGTTATATATATTATGCTGGAAAAAAAACTCTCTGTGATACCTTAAATTGTGCTCTTCAAAATTTTCCAAATCTGGCTTATGAAAACAGAATATTCAGCTTCTACTGTAGCCGGCTTCATCACATTTTACCAAGGACGGGATCCTGTTCTTTGTTCTGAGTGAGAGGCTGACCAAAAATATGCTTCGTTTGTATTTCACATCATCGTTGCTTATTTGTATAGTACTTCAATCTCATTGTCTTACATTTTTACTGTGTTTAGATTCATCAGTTAGTGGAGTTGCTCTCATGGGGGACCGTCAGGTTCGCTGCAATTATATCTGTAGCATTTCCGCACGAAAATCATTATCAGTTGCCAAATGTATACCTCGACACGGGAGTATCGGCTTCAAAAGTTCATGCGATCCCTTGCGAAAAGTTGTCCGATAGCTTTCAATTCATGATCATATGATGGAGTGGTTAAGCTGTCTCCAATAGCTTTCAATTCATCGTGCTTCTCACATGGACCCAATTCCTCCGTATTCTGCTTAAAGGAATCTAATAACCTTTTGCATGTTGTAGTTTTACGTCGCACACTATTAGAGGTTGCCCCTATTGAGGATAAAATAAGAGAGAATCGATTAAGATGGTATGATCATGTACAACGTAGACCTTTTAGTGCACCGGTTAGGAAAATTAATAATATTATATATAGTTAAGGTGGACCTAAAAGAACTTGGTTGGAAACAATCAGGAAAGATATGATTATGTTTAGCTTAATAGAGGAGATGACCCATAATAGAGCGGAATGGTAGAATAGAATTCATGTAGCCGATCCTAAACGTTTGGAATAGATGCTTTGTTTTTGTTGTTGTGCAATATTAATCATACAACTTTCTTTATTGAACATTGAAGTTCAGGGTGAGCAAAACGGGCGAAATTTTCTCAGCCGCCATTTACTCTTTTTTATCTGATCATGAATGACATTTGCACGATTGGATCTCATCTCCACCTGCTGATTAAAGAGAACGATTCTCATTTTATTAGAGCCTAGTAATCCATAGAAAGCTGCTCAATCCCTTGGCCGAAAGGAGAGGAATCTCTCGAGATAATTCAAAGGGGATTTTGGTCCCAGAGCCCATCATATCTTGTCACTTTAAGTCTTCATTTTAGTAAGTTTGATTTGTTTTCATCCTTGATTATCTTCTTCTTAGTACTCTAATCATGCATGTAGATAAGGCCCTTTGACTCTTGGGTCTAGGGTTAATGGTAGAATACATTAATTACCTCATCATGCTCTTTATATAAACAGTTGGGCTGTACAGGGAGCTCCATAGAGTATTCGGTCTTAGCTTGAATTGATATCATCTTTCTGAAAGTTCATGTTAATTATATTCTTGAGGTTGATTCTAGTTCAGAGAACACTAGTCCATTTAAAAAAAAATTATAATGAAACAGAGAGAAAAATCTCCACTTAATGTGAATTAAAATAAATTAAAATACAATGAAATGTCACCGTAGAGATCCTATCAGAATCATCTCTAACTACTCGTGAATGATATAGATCATCCCTTTTTTTATAGAGTGTTTTAATAGAACTATTACTCGAAATGCTATTTGGCAACGGACTGGCAAAGTGTGGAGTTGAGAAGAACCAATTCATCTTAACTTGTCAAATATTGAAGTTGCGAAAATGTTAATTAAGATTCATAAAAATTGTTAATTAAGAATAATCCGTCTAGACGGATTGAAAAAGATAATGCATCCTTTAATATCTATTTGAGAAATAACATCTTTACTGTTAGAAAAAGATGATTAAATTCGCCTCTTCCTTCTCAAATACAAAATATTTCAAACATTTATGAATCTCATGCAACAAGTGACAAAATTTATTCAAAATTACGGGAAATAAGCGATTACTTCAACTTTTTTAAAACTTTCATACTAATTATGGCCGTTCAAAGATTTGAAAGCAGCAAATACAATTTAAGTAATCATATCATACTCCCTTTAAAAGTGTGAATTTCGGAAAAGCTTTCTATGGTCAATATAATTATTTCTTAATATTACATTATAATACAATCCTAAGTTTCAAAAAATATATATTTAACCTTTGTTACATTATAATCCAACCCTAAGTTTAAAAGTATATTTAACCTTTAATATGGTATATTACATTGTGACCCTATCCTAATAATTAAAAAAAAAATCTTCATCTTCAATAGAATACAAGTTTAGAGATGTATGGAATTAGTAACAAGCATAAAGATAACATATCCAGACTCTTTATAGGATTATCTACTTAATAAGAAAATCATCTAAAAGGACTGGGTCAATCACTATAAGAAAGATGATTAGACTTCTCCTAATCATAATAATCCTCTCTCCAAACAAATTATCCACGCATTTGCTTGCCTGTAAATTAATAACCGAAATGTAATTAGAACTCTATTTCCCTTTTTTGGAAATAATTATGTTTCCTATTTAAAGGATCTATCTTTATCATAGCCCCCTCCTATATATTTACATTACATGCAAATTCAAGAACCCCAAATTTAAAACGAGGTAGGATTATTAGTAGCAGTCTAAATGTGCCATGGCCTGCTATATTTTAGATACTTGTATACACAACATCATTTTTATCAATTTGTACTCAGCAAGCTTCATGTAACATATTTTTTTATTGGATTATTGCTCTCCAATTTGTTTATCTTAGTCATTAAATGTAGGGTTAAAATTGAAGAAACTATAAGCTGTAAGTTGATGATGGCTAGGTAGATCTCATTAATATGGAGCTCACATATTCTTCATACAACTTCTTAAGCCGACACCCATCTTGCATCTTGAAAAGTTTTGATTTTAAGTCCTTCTCTTTTGTTATATTCACTCTTGTATATGTACTTGTAAAGATATTGTGTCACTTTAATGTTTGAGCATATTTGACATTAATGTGACGATTATTACGGGTGAAAAAATATGGATTGTAAGGTCCAACCCACTGATTATTGAGGATTTTATTGCAGGCCGACATTATTTTGTTATATTTGCTCCTCTTATAAATTAGGTAAGCATCTTTCGCATGCATTAATCATGAGCTAAATTCTCAAGGGTAATGATATTTACACTCTTCATTTTGCATGCAAGTGTTCTTCATGTTCAATTTCCCACAAGGGCCAAGCCTTATATATATTTTTTACTAGTTTATAAAGAATTTAGTGTTTGGATTGGTCTGAAATTTTTCTGGATACATACTTGTCATACTAATCTGATAATGTGCTTTTGTGCTCTTCAATAAGAGTTATTAAGATATGTGCATGTGGTGCTCCTCGTTTTGGGAACTCGATCACATGAACATGTCCAACAAATTTCCCAAAGATCTCTTTCTTAAAGAGTTGATCTTTAAGACATTCAGCGTTGCACAAAATATCCTTGAGTTTAGATCTAGCTTGTCACGATGGTTTTGATCTGTATATAGTTGCTCAATGATCTCTTCCCATTCTAGATAGCATGTCATTGTGATGAAAAGATCTAGCTTTTCAAATCATTGTACTAGTGGCATAACGACAAGATATCTGCGATGCATGTCTCTAGGACTGCTAATGAATGATGATGCAAGTACTATTCTCTTACCTACTTGTCATGCATTTACTTCCCCGACAGCTATACTATTGACAATTACTAGAATAACCATGCTCTGGTTTCTGATTGCTTATTTCGAAATTACTCAAGTCTTGTTGCTTCAAGCTTCATGTACATATTGATAGCATAGTGATAGAACAAACGACATGCTGATGTAATTAAAGTAGACTATCGAGAGTCTCTTACTTGGAGCTTATGACAATAATAATCTCGACATGGGATGTTTTCTAACTGGATCATAACGGACAAACTAGTGTTTCACGTGATTCCTTTATCATGTGTGTGCATGTCTCTCTCTCTCTCTCTCTCTCTCTCTCTCTCTCTCTCTCTCTCTCT